TCTTTAGAGAGGGACATCATGCTGGGTAGAGTAGAGGGACAGTGTAGGAGGGGAAGACCCTCTATGAGGTGGATTGATTCGGTGACTGGGGTAATCAGGATGAGTGTGTCAGAGGCAATGCAATTGGCACAGGATAGAGCACAGTTTAGGGCTGTTGTACATGGGGTCGCTATGAGTCGCAAACGACTCAACGGCACATAACAACAACAACATCATGTGTTATTTTATAAGTAGAACTGATTCACCTAATTAAATCACTGAGTAGAGCAAAAACCAATTTATTTTGTTGTTCTGGTGGTCCCTTTAAGAGATATGATGACAAACAGGCTTTCTAACGTGTTATAATTCTTAAATTCTTCTGCTTTTGGAAGAAAAGATGGTAACAATTAGTCACATATATCTCTATGTGAATAATTTACATAAAGATAAAGACAATTTTAGTGCAGAGTTAAAAAGTATATATGTAAGGCTAAAGATTGATCATCAAAAGTTTTCCCATGTGACAATCTTGTGACTGATTTAAACACAACACTGAATGAAGACAATATATTCTTCCTCTGAAAAGATTTTCATCAGAGTTTTGAATTCCATCAAATTCCCAGTATATGCAAATCAAATATTTATTTTATTTTTAGGGAAGTGTGAAATTTTTAAAAATGTACCTTTTTAATTCTCTGCTTTTCTTCTTCAGAAACTTTGAGTTTCATCTCTAAATTTGAGATTTTTTGCTGAAGCTCTAAGTTTGATACATTGGCCTCAGGATCCTCAGAATCATCCACAAGTGTAATTGTTCCATTACTTTTCTCATCAGTTAAACCCAATGGAAAAAGTGAGATATCCAAATGAGTGTGTGTTGATTGCTGAATCTAAACCACATTAAGAAGAAAAAGGAGAAAAGAAAAGAAAAAAAAAAAAAAGAGGGGAAAATTTACACTGTACCAATAATGAAAACATCCAAAGGGCACCAAAAACCACATTTGGAAATTAAGTTGTAGCAAAGGTTCTGAAATTATTTCCCCCTTTAAGTAAACCAACAAAAGACCTCAAACTATTAAAACCTGATCTTTGTAGGAAAAAAAACCAAAATTTGTTCTATTTACAGTTTAAACCATTTATGATCTTGCTCGTATAACATTGGAAAACTTGAAACTTTTTCTCATGATTAAAAGTGGGTAATTAGGTATAAACACATCTGGCACAAGTTCTTGATTTACATCTGGTAGTAGTTCTTGATTTTATGAAGAAACTCTCTTTTTATGTTAAATTTTAAACCATAATTTAAAATTATCTAATGGTGACTATGTGATCATCACTTTTTACCAAAGATAACTAGTGACTGAAGAATACTTATGCCACTTTAAAAATCTAGATTAACTCTTGCACTTAACATTCATATGTAAGCAGGATTATAGACTATTTGTCCTGTGGTGTCAGATTTAGAAAAAGTATTTCTTATGGTAATGTGTTAATATTGAAACAAATAAAATTTATTGCCATCAAAATTATTCCAACTCAGAGCAAGACTACATAATTAAACTGTATTTATTTTTATATTTACTATGACAAAGATATATCATATGAAGCTTATAAAACATTAGTTTTATATTTTAGATAAGATCCACTGAGGAATTGTCAGTAAACATTTGAATAAATCTTTTTCCGCTTTAATCTAATACTGAAGTGAATGCTTCTAATACCTTAAGATATAGTGTAAGATTCAGTGGAAAGAGAAATAAGCATTCTTTCTCTTCTTGTGTTATATGCCATTGAGTTGAATGCAACTCATTGCAACCCTATGAACAATAGATCTGAATCCTGTTCCATTCTGTACCATCCTACAAATCTCCAACACATTTGAACCCACTGGTGCAGTCATTGTGACAATCTATGTCATTTAGGGTCTTTCGCTCCTTCACTGACCCTCAAATAATGATGTCTCCCTCCAAAGAACAGCCCTTCGTAATAACATGCCCAAGGTATGTGAGACAAAGCTTTGTCATCTGTGGTTGCACTCTGACCAAGACAAACCTGTTTATGCTTTTGGCAATACATGGGATGTTTGTACTTTTCCCCAACATCACAGTTTAAAGGAATCAATTTTTCTGTCATTCTTACTCACTGTCTGGCTCTCAGGCACAAAGCAGGTGATGGAAAGACAATGGATTGAATCAAGTACACCTCAGTCTTAAATCAACATCATTGCTCATCAGATTTTTTAAACGTCACTGATATGTTTCCTAGTCTCCTGACACAAAGCATTTTGACTGAGGATTCAAATAAATCTTTAAGAATTTCAAATCTTTCCTCCATCTTTCATAATGTTATCTTTTGACCCAGTGGTGAGAATTTTCTTCTTGATGTTGGTATGTAACCCATCCAAGGCTGCAGTCCTTGATCTTCTGGAGCAAGCACTGCAAGTTTTCTCATTTTCAACAAGGAAGATTAAGTCATCTGCATGACGCGGGCTGTTGATAAGCCATTCTCCTAACCTCATACCACATTCTTTTTCATAGAGTCCAGATTCTGAATTATTTCCTCAGCATACAGACTTTTTTTTTTCAGGTATGGAGAATGGATATAGCCTTGATTGTACATCTTTTTTTTTTTCCCAGCCATGATGTATATTCCCTTGTTGTGCTTGGAAAACAATTTCTTGGTGTTTGTTGTTGTTGTTGTTATGTGTCGAGTCACTAGCGACTCATAGCGACCCTATGTACAAGAGTTTTAAATCCGTTCTATTCTGTGCCAACCTAGCCTTCTCAAGCGCACTCATTCCCACCACTCCAGTCACAAATTGATCTATCTCATCGACGGTGTTACTCTCCTGCACCGCCCATCCACTCTGCCTAACATGATGTCCCTTTCCAAGGACCAGTTCCTCCTTGCAACATGCCCAAAGTATGTCAGATGAAGCTTCAGAATCCTTGACTCCAAGGAACATTCTGGCTTTATCCTCTGCAGGACAAACCTGTTTGTTCTCCTAGCAGTCCATCTTATATGCAACACTCTTCTCCAGCACCACAGCTCAAGGGCATCAATTCTCTTTCTATCACCCCTATTCACTGTCCAGCTCTCTGATGCATAGCACATAATTGCAAAGACTATAGCCAGGATCAGGCGCACCTTAGTGTCCAGCCTGACATCGTTGCTCTTAAGTACTCTTGAGAGGTCCCTGACAGCTGACTTTCCCAATGCAATTCATCTCTTGATTTCCTGGCTGTTGTTACCAAGAGTGTTGACTGTGGAGTCAAGCAAACTAAAAGTGTTAACTATCTCAGTCTCTTCACCACCCATACCGATGCTGTCAATTGGCCCAGTGGTGAAAATCTTTGTTTTCTTGATTCAATCCATATAGGAGGTTGCAATGCTTGACCTTCTACAGCAAGCGCTTCAGGTTCTCCTCAGTTTCAGCAAGCAGGGTTATGTTATCTGCATAACGCAGGTTGTTGATTACTCTTCCACCAATCCTGATGCCACATATAATTAAATGTGTTCTGGGAATTCTCATTCGTATCAATGTTAGCTAAAGTTTATTATGATCCATAGTCAAATGCCTCTGTCGAGGCAATAAAACACAGACAGACATTCTTCTGGTATTCTCTGCTTTTTAGCCAAGATCCATATGATATCAGCAATGATATATAGTTGTGGTACCACAGCCTTTTCTAAATCCAGCTTGTACTTCTAGTAGTTCTCTGACAATGTAATGAACTAGTCATTCTGAATGGCCCTCAGTAACATTTTGTTTTCATGTGATATCCCAATACTTCCCACATTCTGTTGGATCCCCTTTCTTGAGAATAGGAATAAATATCAGTTAGCTGTCTTCCAAATTTCCTAGTACAAAATGGTGCACCTATATTACTTTGTGAAGTTCAAGATTTTAAATGCAAGTTAGGCCAATTTCAATAAATCCAGTATTACAATCATGTTTGGTAACTATAGAAAATTAAGTATCTTACAAATTGTGCCAAAATCAAAGAACATTCTTTTTATAATAAATACAATTTTTAATTTCAAAACTAGAATAGTTATTGAATAAATATTTGTCTTAGAAAAATTAAAATGTTTATATTTTCAATAGTCAAATAAAGTCTTAATGGAATCTCCACACAATTTTTGTTAAGTTCTTTAAAAATATGATCTTTACCTGTGGTTTTGGAACAGTTTGACTGACAATGCTGTTCTCTGCATGTGTATTCTCTAGTGATGACCCGATGGAATCAGAAGAAAGGCAATCAACAGAAGGCGAAGAGTGATCATGTTCCAATACAATATCAGGAGAAGTTGGGGAAAGATGGACTCCAGATACTAATGAAGACGGGGAGGGAAAAAGCTTAGAGTTATTACTGAGAAAATGGAGCTATGTAAGTTGAAAGAAAAAAAAAAAAGAGGACGTGAAGGAGAAGAAGGAAATAAAATGACTTAGAAATAAAAATAGCATTCTATGACTGTTTTTCAGGAATGAAGACTGTTGAGTCAGCCTTAACCCATAGCTGATCCTCCACCAGGCTTTCAGAGGCATTAAACTGCACAGGAGGAGACTTTCCATCTTTCTCCCACTGAGCAGTTAGTGGATTAAAACCTTTGCATTGGCAGCACAATTCCTTACCACTAAAGTTTCTAATTAAAACCAAACACTCTGCCATCAAGTCAATTCTGCTTCATAATAACTGTGTCATCTTCCCCCACCAAGGAGTGACTGACTGGTGGATTCAAATTGCCACCAATTTAAAGTAACTGGTGATCCCTCCCCCTGGAGTGGCTTGTGGGTCCAACCTTCAATTAACAGTGCACTCTTAACCCAAGATGCCATCAGGATTCCTAAGTTTTTATTAAGGGGGGGGGGGAAGAAAACCAACCTTTGTAACCAAAAGTGGTGACTAGCATTCAACATTCTAAACATAGTTTCAAAGTTTAGTTATGTTTATTTCATCACAATAGTTTTTGGTGTGGGTTTTTTGGTTTTGTTTTTGTTTGTTTGGTTTTTTTTTTACATTTAGAGTTCAGAAAAAGCATTAAGATATTCTACAAATCCATTCATTTAATTAAGAAAATTTCTACCAGTGTCAGACAACAAAGAAGTAACACAGATAATACACATGCATCCATGCATTCAACGACATTCTAGCCTAGCAAGCAAGTAGAACCAACTAAACATTTATTCCAGAAAAGTGAATAAGAACAATTACTTTGAAACAGCTAATCCATCTGTCTCTGTTTAATTCTTTTGTAATATAAAAAAATTAAAATATGGCCAATTTTCTTTGTTCAATTAATAGTTCCTTCAGAAAAAAATATAATTTTGTAATTATTTTTACAACAAACCATCATTAGACTGGGATAAACCTCAAACATAGAAGTCATGAAAAGAAAATGCACTTATCAAACACAGTATAAAACAAAAATACAGATGAAGGCAAAAAAGAATTGTCTATATTTAAATTACCTTCAAGTGTTTTTCTCTAAAATTTCAAATAAATTTTTACTTAATGTTTTAAGTATTAAGAAGAGTTAAACTGAATAAATTTTAGCAATAAGTCATTTATGTTTAGACTTTCTAAATCATAAAGACCTTTATTCCACATTGGCATCGGTAACAACGTCAGTGAAGCTCTACCATAAATTCTGGATGGCAGCTCACAATGGCAAGTGCATTTTTCCTAAAGAAAAACATTTGTAAGGCTATTAATTATTAACAAACTAAAGACTATATAGTTTCTGATTAAGTCTCTAGTTAATTATCTTTCACAAACTTTTATTTCAAGGAAATATTACAAATCATGTGTCATTGTTAATGTTGTTAATAAGTATCATGAAGTAGATTTAAATTTACAGTGACTCCATTCAAGAGGGTGAAACTGCCTCCAAGGGTTTTCTTTGCTGCTTTTCTTTACAGTAGAAGCAGATTTTCAGGTCATTCTCTGACGGAATCACTATGAACCGCCAACATCTCAATTAACAGTCAAATACCTAACTATGATACTATAATTCCTGAGTAATTATGATATTCTAGCCTAACTCATAGGCATGTTACTTGCTGTAATTTTTTTAAAAAAATAAACTTAAATGATGTTGTTAATTCATATCCTTTTCAGATTTTTCCCCCCCCCAACAGTTAATTTGTGAAATTTACTAACTTTATAAAAGGGTTTGGTCTTTGGCCTTGGTTCCAGAAAAAGAACTCTATACCCTTAGAATTTCCAAGGTAACTGAGAAGCCTTTGTTTTCCACAGGCCTTCTAACCACTCCTGAGTAGTCATGCAAGTGAGGTAACTCAGGTTGGAGATGAACAAACTAGAATAACTACCTCGTGTTATCAGCTAACATTCAGAGAAGAGTTCATCATTCAATCAGTTATGCCTACATAATGAGACCTATGTGTCCATATGCTTAATACTATCAACATAACAGCCTAATCGACTTCCTGGTTGTTGAAAGACATGGATATATGTGGGAAGGTAGAGTGTTCCTGTCTTAGGACACAGAAACTCCATGATAAGAATAACACCAGAACTTGTCTTTTGTACCTCTTCTCTTGTATCCTTGATATAATAAACCTATAACTCTATACAATAACCTTTTGTGTGTCATTTAATGATGAAGCCCAAAGGAGCCAGCAGATCAGAAGCAAAGCAGACTCTGGTGACTCCCAAGCTTTTGACTGTCATAACCTTCAGTAGGAAAATCCAAATTTGTTGCTATCAGGTCAGAAAGTGTAGCTATCATGAGGACTAATAAGCTTGTGACTGTCATTTGAGATCTTGTGCAGATTGGGCAGGAGAGATTTTTTTTCTTTAACTTGCAAAATCTAATTTGGCTTTGAATGGTTAGAGTCAAAGAAAGACTAACTCATTTGTAGCTGTTATTATAAAAGCAGCAAAAAATAATGAAACTGATATTTTTGATCCTGGCAGTTAACTGTCAAAGTCAGAAGGGTATCATGCTATATTTTGAAATAAATTTCTCTAAAATATCCAATCTTCTAATTCTGAGTTATAATTTCTAATAAATATATTGCTTCTAAATTTTCAGTCATGAAAACAGATTAGGATAGTATAAAATAGTGCACTATAAGGAGAAGAGGCAAGACGGCCTAGCCTTGTAGCAAGACTCTGGAGTCATATTCTCATACTATGGAAGAATATTGGACAATTAACTTCCCTACGTCTCAGTTTCTACAAAGAGTTGCTAATGAGGTTTCAACTGGCAAAATATAAACATTTACTACAGAATTAATATAATTTGCATTATTACTTTTAAGGTTATTAATATTTGTTAAATAACTATGTAATTTCTGTGAATAAAGGTTATATATGACTATGGTCTTGGATTTTAAAAAGTTTTTCGTATTATTCTGATTTACCACTGAGTATTTCCCTTTTTCTTTTTAACCCTCTTTTAAAACTGTATATAATATTGTCCTGATTAAAATCTTCATGATTTAAGTGAATTAGATCTGGAGGTGGGAAAGAAGTAGAGTTAAAAGCACAGAGAAGACTAGAGAAGAGGGAAGATAGTTGAGAGGGATAGAGAAGAAACACTGAAGAAAGAGACCATTAAACCCCACAATTCCCACTACCTGCTAACAACCTATTATTCTTCCCTTCATATTAAAATTGCTAAAATAAGCAGTTTATAATCTGCCAATGTTCTTCTTTAACTCAATCTTGATTGCGCTTAAAATACTACCTTTTCAACTATTGTTAAATCAAATGAAATATTCTGATTTTACCTTTCTGTAGCTCTCCAGATAAAAATAACCTTATATTTTTCTTGAAAACGCTCTCTCAGAACCTATGACACCACTGTCTCATAGCTTTTATCTTTTTTCAGGGTCTTTCTCCACTTAACCGTAAGTTTCATAGCTTCCTATATAATCTAATCTTTAAACTGTACATGTTGTACAGTTTGTATATGTTGTACAGTTTTATCCCTTTCAATGTCCTTCCTCTACTATCTATAAGTTAATTCATAGATCACTCACTCCACAGATCTCTAGATCCATAACAAAGAAGTTTTTCTCAGCTATCAGAAACTATTCTATTCCTGTGAAACCTGCTGTTGATCAAAATGGCATAAACTGAAGAAGCAATTATCATTGATCAATATAGGAATTTTTTTCAATTTTCAAACCCAAAATGTAATATTAAATTATACCAAAGAACATAAAAAAGTAAAATAACAATAGCATATATTGTTCACAGACATAACTCTAAGTTTGATACCTTGATGCTAAAATCATCTGCTAAGGATGTGTACTGCCTCTTTTTAATGGCTTGCTGAAAAAAGTGAACTCTAGTTTCATTTTTTACTTTTTTTTGTAAAAGTGAAAAGCATCTCTGAGTTTCTTATGGCTAGCAAAACTGAACACATATAAAATGAAATTTTGAAAAGCAGGGTACACTTATTATTACTTTTCTAACAGGCCGTTTCCTTTAGATTTCCAATGTCGTTGTTGATGTTGTTATGTGCCGTCGAGTCACTTGCAACTCATAGTGACCCTATGTACAACAGCCCCAAACCTTGCTCTATCCTGTGCCAATCACACTGTCTCCAACACACCCATCCTGATTACCCCAGTCACTGAATCAATCCACCTAATAGAGGGTCTTCCCCTTCTATGCTGTCCCTCCGCCCTCCCAAGTATGATTTCCCTCTCCAAGGACCTGTCTCTCCTTACAACATGTTCAAAGTATGTCAGACGAAGCCCCAGAATTTCTAAAAGTTACAAAAAAACTTACCTATCATATAAATCTGCTTTGTTTCATGTTTTCCATCTTAGTGCCACCAATGAACTTTGTACCCCACCGGAAACTATAGACCAACTTCATTCCAGTCACACTGAAGGAAGAACTGTACCCTGATTATGCCTTATTGTTAAAGGCTCTGTGACCTCACAATATTACTGGTAAAGTAAAAGTCACAGGCTTTGGAAGTAAAAAAGTGGATTGAAATGTGATCAATAACAATTATACACTGTTCAGACTTCAGCAAATTGAACAAACTTCTCTAAACCACAGTCTTCTCTTCAGAAAATAAAAAAAAATTTTCCTCAAAAAGATGTGATAAAAGATAAAACATAAATAGTGCTAATTACGTGAGGTAAATTGTTGCTGTCATGATTTGTTCACTATTAAATATAAGACTTTCAAAAATTTTTCTATCTTATCATCCAATCCACTACAATTTCTATTTCTCATATGTTGAGACAGTATATAATTTTTAATAATAATGATAATATAAACATTACATATCAAATTCTCTGAGATAAATTTAAAGAAGTTTTTTTCTTAAATCTATACCCTTAA